TGCATTTTCCAAGTATCAAAATTGTCCTTGTTCAAGGTTTCAATTCGGACGAAGCTCGGCGTACTCATCTTCTCGCTTTCGATGCACCACACGTAATTTTGACGCGCACTCAATAACGATCAATTTTAACTTTTCGACGCGCACTCAAATAACGATCGATTTTAACTCTTATATTTCCGAGCTTTTTTTTTATATTTATTTTTTTATATCCTTCCGTCTGGGCCCATAACCTGTTGGTTATTTAAACGCAGTTAAAGGAATATTTATTAAAAGCTCGATATAATATACGCCATAAATACATAACAGATCGTCGGAAATGCGACATGTAACACACACGGTTGAATAAACAGTAGTTACCAACAGTAACAAGAACAGATGAGGATAATGCCTATATGGGTACAAGTAGGCGCCGAAAGACACGTTCTTAAAATGTCCGTGCATCGTCGTGTGAACACACCCAATTGCTCACAATTTGAAATTTTTTAATTTTCTCGAAAAATTTCAGCATCTTCTCGAATTTTTTTCTAGAAAATGCGCAGAATTTCGAGGGTATGTCTATTCACCAAAAATTATTGTAATCGACCCTCGGAACTGAAAATAATATTTTCAGAACGATTCGAAATTTTTTTCTCCCGTCGAAACATTTCACACATTCTCAAATTTTTTTCGCGAAAGTGGATAGGATTTTGAGGGTATGTCTAATGAAAAAAAATGATAGTAATTGACTCCTGCAACTAAAAATAATTTTTCCACGACGATTTGAAATTTTTTAATTTTCTCGAAAAATTTCAGCATCTTCTCGAATTTTTTTCTAGAAAATGCGCAGGATTTCGAGGGTATCTCTATTCACCAAAAATGACTGTAATTGACCACTGCAACCGAAAATAATTTTTCCGGAACAATTTGAAATTTTGGAATTTAATTGTTAATAACTTTTTAACGAAGCCTCCATCAACAAATTAATATTCTTAATTTTCGTCTTATTTTGGCCTCTAGAATCCCCCACTAAAATTTTTCCCACGGGTGGCCGAGCACCCTGTATACAGAGTGAATACCCTATTGCACCATTATACCAGTTTCGCTTGTAGGTAGCTACGGCACTGCCGAGCCGAGGTAGGCTAGCGATGGCCGTGTGGCGGTAAAACATCCTGCACGCGTTCCCAACACACATTTTGTCGACCTGTGACAATTGAGAACGGCTTCTACACTTCTGTTGGACAGTTTCTTCTTGAGAAATGTCTGCAGAATCAGATCCTGTGTATAAATTTCGTGTCAGGTAAAGAACTTTTCGTAAATATGCAAAAGTATTGTGTATAAAGTACGTACTTCGACACTTTTTCAAACTTTGGCGATCATTTACAACCAAAAAAGCAAAAGCACAAAATATTATAACTATCGATGTTAGCATATTCAGAAATCTCTCCTCTATCTTTTAAGATTAAGTGGAACTGTCTGATGTTTTTAATTTTCGCGTAATACCTCGTTTTTGCCAAAAATTGGACGTTTTCACAAAAACTCGTGTTTTTCAAAAACTGAGGGTGATACAGCAATTCCATTTTCACATTCGTGTTTAGGAAACAGAGCTCTACAAGAATCACCTAGTGGGTACGGAAAAACAAAATTCGTGTTGAACAGTGTTATTGATATACATTGAAAAGAAAAAAAATTATTAGTAAACGATATGTTTTTTCTATCGTTTAGATATTCCAGGATGGTGGCTCTGTGGAATTATGTGTTCCACAATCGGTTTCTAAGTTAAGTCCTCCACCAACTACTATTAACAAAGACGCAACTCCAGAAGAGAAACGAAGCACAGCGATAGTGTTGGGTTTTATGGTGAAACAAATCACACCGTATTGCACGAGCACTAGTTTGAAATAAGAATATATTATCTTTTACATTTAATGGTAACAAAATAAACAACTATTTGGAACATTAATTAATAGAACAAAAAAAATTATTGTACACTTGTTGCACTTTTACGCCTCATAGCAGAGAGAGAGAGTGTGAGAGAGAGGAGAGAGATATGGGCGCCGCGCACTCCTTATACAGGGTGTTCGGCTATCTATAGCAAAAATTTTAATGAGCGATAGTAGAGGCCAAAATAAGACGAAAATCAAGAATACTAATTTGTTGATGGAGGCTTCGTTGCAAAGTTATTAACATTTAAAGTTCCGCCTGTAGAATGAGAATCCGCTAAACAGCTGCGTTCGCGCGGACGGTTGCGGCAGGCCAGTGCTAGTGGTTCTCACGCAGCATGAAAAATTCTGTTACCGACATTATCGACAGCCTTAGATTTTTGTCTACTTATGGGAATGCGAACACCTTACGTTGAATAAGATTCAACCTGTCTTATGAAAATCCAGAAGGGCATATCAAAACTCGCCCGACGAGATTTTCACAGAGAAAGGGTGAATGCCAGTTCCAATACACAATGTTGTGAACAAAAATCACCCACATGCGATTATACACGCCCCACGATTGTCCACAGTGTCCACAAGTATCCACAAATAATCCTTTCAGGCACTAACCACTATGCAATTAAATAAACACGTACCGCGATTATGTTATTCGTGAATGTCTACGTGTACGTGTATCACGATTCTTCCGAGTTACTTACGAATAAAACTGTTATCAATTTTTCAAATACACTTCAATTTAAAAATGTAAACAGGAATTTAATAAGTATTCGCTGATTGTTTATATCACTGTATTTCTTACATGCTACTTAATACATAACTGTTGCGTGGACTCTCGCGACCGGTAAAATTGGAGTGGCGCGAAAGGAACGCTTTCCGAAGAGTAAGTTATTACTATCGGAATAGTTGGAATAAATGAATGTAGTACTGAACGAGCGTAGTTGACTTTTCGACTGTGTAACGTGGAATGTCTATTTCAGGTCTGATGTCGGTATTTATATGGATGGTGGAATGTTCTTATTGGCTAATGTGTCGCGTTGTAGGAGTGTCGTTGGTTCTGAATGATTGGTGTAGTTGTTCTGTGTGGGTGTGGTTTGACTGTACTGGCGGAAAGGGCAGGCTCTGGTGAGGAAGCCATTTCCGGGGTTGGGACGGAGTTTTCTAGTAAATTTGAATGCTAGTAAACAATTAAGTGAAAGCTAGCCAAGTGAAAGTGCGCGCTAGTCGCGCACGTGCATTTCAGCTGTCTAGAAAACTCCGTCTTGATTACCCTATTTTACCGGGTCCCCCCGGTAATCACCTTGTCTCATAGCGGCAGGACGAGGCCACTTCGTCCTGCCGCCATCCGTCCCGGGGCCACGTCTAGTGGCGGGTGCGAGCCCCAACTCGCAACCGCCCGCGACCCCGTTTCTACCCCTCGGCGCCGGCAGCCAATGGCCGCACCAGACCACCGAGGGTGCCGCTCCGTGCGCCGGACCCGGACAGGAGGCACTGCCACCCCATCCGGGTCCGACCCTGCGCCGCCTGGCGGGAGGGGGGCTCCTATCAGGACCCCCCTCCCAGCCTGGGTCATGCGCCACGCCGAGGGGGCCGCCCGCGTCGCCTGACGCCCAGGCGACGCTCTCTCGACACCAAACGAGCGCGAGCCTCAGCGCGCCGCTGACGCTCGCGCTCCCTTCCCGCGGTCTCCTTCTGCAACATTACGATTTCGCAGAAGGAGGCCACGGCCCTCCACTTCTCCTCGCTGCCGAGCATGGCGCGCACCATGCCCGGCAGCGAGACATCCCGCCCGATGACGCCGATCAGGACACGGCGCTCACCCTTCCCATGCAGCGCATACCTCGAGGGTATGTTCCGCCGTGTCCTGCTCAGTGGCACAATGGCAGCAACGCGCCGTCGGCTCCTTCCCTATCCGGCACAGGTATCTCCCGAAGCTGCCATGCCCCGAGAACACCTTTTTTTTTGTACGTGGGGAAATCCTCATGGACACCCGCGGGCCCACCCGATGGGCGGGCCGGCGGGTAGTGCCGGACTCTTACCGGCTAAAACCCCACGGTGACCATCCTCAGGCGCTTGGCGAGGGACCGGGAACTCTAGTGAGACATCACAGAGTCCCCCGCCGCGCCGTGCCTTTTCAGGCCCTTCCCGGTGAGAGGCACTCCTCCCACCGCATTTCCACTCAGCCACAGGCGCCTGGTCACCAGCGCCCGCGGCCCCGTGACATGGGACTAAGCCGCCGGCCGCGGGGCCATGTTGGCCGCAGGACACACCCGCAGCCAACTGGCCAACCTGCGGCCTTAGGTTTAACCCGCGGCAAATACCCCATGCCCCAGTCCACTCACACACACATTCACACGCGCAACACATTCATACCGGTGTTTGGTCCGCGGGAGCTTTCGCTCCGACCTCCGGGATGCCATGCGAGGATGCAGACACCAGCCTTCATAGGTTGATGACCTCATTCCCGCATCCCATCCCAGCGGCTGCCCCTATCCGCCACCTGGGGACGCGCCACGTAGGGGTTCACCTCCCCTGCCGCCTGGACAACCAAACGGGTGCGTGGAGGTCTCCTTCCGGCCTGGGGTCGGTGTGGCCCCGGTGTCCCCTCTCCGCCGCTAGAAAGGTGGCGGAATCCGGGAGGGTATTGGTGGGGTGGGTTCGGCGCGAGTGGAGATACTCGCGCCGCGCCCACTCTAGTGTCACCGCTGCCTCGAGTGGGGCACGTGAGGCAGTGGTGCACCTCGCCGGTGGACCGCAGCGGTCAGTGTTACCGCTGCGGGGCGAATGACCACCGCGCGAGCCAGTGCTCGGCGGCCCCCCCACTGCCCGCTATGTGCGGACATGGGGAGGCCAGCCGATCACAGGGTGGGGAGCAAAAAGTGCTCTCCCCCCTCCCGGAAGGGGAAGAAGAAGGGGCCCACCCCGGGTTCAAGCACCGCGGTTGCTGGCAGCGTCCACCATGGAGGTGGACGGTGCCACGGGGACGGACAGCCGGGAGGAGGCTGGGACGGCCGTTAAATAACGGCGCCCCGCCTCCTCCTCCAGGCCAATCTCAACCACTGCCGCGCGGCACAGGACATGATGTCCCAAGTCCTCGCGGAGTGGGGGGTTGGCCTGGCGGTCGCCGCCGAGCCGTACCGCGTGCCGGATCACCCACATTGGGTGGGCGACGCGGACGGTTTGGTGGCGACGGTATGGGGAGGTGGCGACGGGTCCCCGCCGTTCTCCATTCTGGAGCGCGGTCGGGGTTTCGTCGCCGTGGACTGGGGGGGAGTCGCCGTAGTGGGGTGCTACATCTCGCCCCGCAGCGGTCACGCCGCGTTCGAGCTGTACTTGGCCGAGGTCGCGGCATGCGTGCAGCGCTGCGCGGCCCGGCCGGTGCTAGTCCTGGGGGACTTTAACGCCAAGTCGGTGGCTTGGGGATCCCCTAGGACCACCGTTCGCGGCGGGATCCTGGGCGACTGGGCGGCGGGGCTCGACCTTCGGTTACTGAACCGGGGGTCGGAGCACACGTGCGTGCGGCGATATGGGGGGTCTATCGTGGATGTTGGATTCGCGACCCCCAACGCCGTGCGCATGGTGTCGGGTTGGCAGGTGGCCCCGGAGGCAGAGACACTCTCCGATCACCGGTATATCCGGATGGAGGTCTCTGCCGCCGGGGCTGCGTCCCGGCACCGCCGCCCGGATGGCACCCCACCGCGCCGCTGGGCGCTTCGGCGCCTGGACAAGGACGCCCTGATGGCAGCTGCCCTCGCTGCAACTTGGCCGCAGGTGGCGGCCGAGTTGCCAAGCATGGAGGAGGAGGCTGCCCGGCTCGGGGTACTAGTCGCAACCATTTGCGACGCGTCGATGCCCCGGGTCGGGCGAGCTTCTCCTCGCCGGGCGGTGTACTGGTGGTCGGCCGCGATCGCGGAATTGCGGGTCGCGAGTGTCCGCGCCCGACGCCAGTACGCCCGCGCGCGCCGTCGTCTACGACCGGACGATGGCGTGGCGCGAGCGAGGGCAGATGACCTGTATGAGGCATACCGGATGGCGCGGGTTGCTCTGCAGGTCGCCATCAAACGGGCCAAGGCCCAGGCATGGAAGGATCTCCTCCAGACCCTCGATGACGATCCTTGGGGGCGCCCGTACAGGGTGGTGCTGAAGAAGCTCCGCCCGTGGGCGCCCCCCGTCACCGAGGGTCTTGACCCCCGGCTGCTGGAGGACGTGGTCAATACTCTTTTCCCAATTCGGGTGAGGGGACCACGTCCTCCGGCGGAGGCGGCAGTCCCAAGGGAGTGGGCGGCCGAACTGGGGGTCACTCAGGGGGAGCTGGCCGCGGCCATCAGACGGCTCGGGGCGCGTAACACGGCCCCGGGTCCGGATGGTGTGCCCGGCCGGGTTTGGGTCTTGACCCAGGGCGTCCTTGGGGCTGACCTCAGGCGGTTGTTCGACCGATGCCTGAGGGACGGGCGATTCCCCCCCAGTTGGAAGGTGGCGAGGATGGTCCTCCTCCGGAAGGAGGGTCGGCCCGCGGAGTCTCCCTCCGCATACCGGCCCATCTGTCTCCTCGACGAGGTGGGCAAGCTCTTCGAGCGGGTGATTGCTGCCCGCCTCGTCGAGCACCTGGCGCGGGGTGCCCCCGGCCTGGCCGACTGCCAGTACGGTTTCCGGGAGGGTCGATCGACCATCGACGCGATAGGTCGTGTCAGGGCCCTCTCGGAGTCGGCCGTCTCCCGGGGAGGGGTGGCTTTGGCAATATCCTTGGATATTGCCAACGCCTTTAACACCCTGCCCTGGGAGGAGATAAGGAGGGGGCTCGAATATCATCGGGTCCCCCCTTGTCTCGGGGCGGTCATCGGGGATTATCTCCGCGGCAGGTGGATCGAGTATCCGAGCCGGGATGGGCATATGCGGAGGGAGGTGTACTGCGGTGTTCCGCAGGGGTCGGTCCTCGGGCCACTCCTGTGGAACATCGCGTACGACGCAGTGTTGCGGGCCGACCTCCCCGACGGCGTCAGCGCCGTGTGTTATGCAGATGACACACTGGTGCTGGCCGTCGGGGCGCACTGGGGGAGGGCCAAGCGTCTCGCGGAGGAGGGGGCGCAACGCGTCGTCGACCGGATCAGAGGGATGGGGATGACGGTGGCGGTCCATAAGACCGAGGTGATAGCGTTTCCATTCACCTCGGCAGGATCCGCCACCCCCTCTGATCCGCGTGGGTGAGGCTAATATCGAGGTGAAGCCCCAGATGAGGTATCTGGGGCTGATCCTCGATAGCCACTGGCGCTTCGAGGAGCATTTCCGCTGCCTGGTCCCCCGGCTGGAGAGGATGGTCGGGGCTTTGGGCCGGATTCTGCCCAACCTGGGGGGCCCGGCGGGCCGAGTTCGCCGCCTCTATGTGGCAATGGTTCAGTCGGTGGTCCTATACGGGGCCCCCGTCTGGGCGGACGACCTGGCGGCCTCCCGGCGCGGCATGACTATGCTGCGTCGGGTGCAGAGGCGGATGGCTCTAAGGGTCGTCCGCGGGTACCGGACCGTGTCACATGAGGCGGCGACGGTTCTTGCGGGGATGCCGCCCATGGATCTCCTCGCGCGGTCGCACGCGATGATGTATCGTCACCGCGTCGACCGTCGCGCGGGGGTGGGGGCGGTCCCGGGTGTGCAGGAACCTGCTTGGGGCGAGTTGAAGCGCCAGGCCCGGCAGTCCGTGGTGCACGCGTGGCAAGAGCGGTTGGCTCTGCCTACCGCGGGGCACCGGACAGTCGGGGCTGTTCGGCCACTCCTATGTGAGTGGCTGGACAGAGGCCATGGAAGCCTCACTTACAGGATGGCACAGGTGTTCTCGGGGCATGGCAGCTTCGGGAGATACCTGTGCCGGATAGGGAAGGAGCCGACGGCGCGTTGCTGCCATTGTGACGCTGAGCAGGACACGGCGGAACATACCCTCGAGGTATGCGCTGCATGGGAGGGTGAACGCCGTGTCCTGATCGGCGTCATCGGGCGGGATGTCTCGCTGCCGGGCATGGTGCGCGCCATGCTCGGCAGCGAGGAGAAGTGGAGGGCCGTGGCCTCCTTCTGCGAAATCGTAATGTTGCAGAAGGAGACCGCGGGAAGGGAGCGCGAGCGTCAGCGGCGTGCTGAAGCTCGCGCTCGTTTGGTGGCGAGAGAGCGTCGCCTGGGCGTCAGGCGACGCGGGCGGCCCCCTCGGCGTGGCGCATGACCCAGGCTGGGAGGGGGGTCCTGATAGGAGCCCCCTCCCGCCAGGCGGAGTAGGGTCGGACCGGATGGGGTGGCAGTGCCTCCTGTCCGGGTCCGGCGCACGGAGCGGCACCCTCGGTGGCCTGGTGCGGCCGTGAGCTGCCAGCCTCCGAGGGGTGGAAGGGGGGTCGCGGCGGTTGCGAGTTGGGGCTCGCAGCCGCCACTAGACGCGGCCCCGGGACGGATGGCGGCAGGACGATGTGACCTCGTCCTGCCGCTATGAGACAGGGCGATTGCCGGGTGGCCGTTTGTCCCCCCGCGGGTGGGCGCAAAGCGCGGGCACGGGGAGGATACCGGAAGTATACTTCGAGCGATTCCCGGTATCCTCCCAAATCGTGCGGAAGGGTCACCGTGGGGTTTTTAGTGGGTAGGTCCCGCGCCCGGTATAATGGGCGCGGGGAATCCCACACACCCCTCCCGCCTCTCCCCAAAGAGGTGGGAGGGAGTCTTTCGAAGATTTTCCCCACGAAAAGGCGCTGAGTGAGGCGCGAGCGCCGACACTCCAGCCCCAACACCATCCTCGTCCTCCCCATACGCAACAACCCGTCCCATCCCCGTTTTAATTATTGGATCCATGTAATTCCCACGCGTAGGTCGGAAATAAAGGTCCACCCGGGCAGAGCCGCCTTACCCGGGTAAGCCTAATACTCCGGGGGTTCGGCAGGTGCCCCGGAGGTGGTCGCTTGGGATTGGGCCTTCTCCCCCAACCATGCGTCCCATCGCCGCGCACCATAGCTTAGGATTGGAGGGCGATTTTATAGAGTCGCCATACTCTTGGCCCAGGCGGTTAAGCCAAGGCCCCCGCTTCTCCTGCCGTCACGTACCATTCACAAAACCAAAAAAGGAATTGTGAATGGGTCGTCGTGACGACCAACAGGAGGCTTACGGTGTGATTAGCTTCAGGTACCTCGGGGTCGCTACGCCCCGTACTGCGGCCGACGATTGCCGGACACAGCCCCTGAGGGGAACCGGGCCCTGCGGGCCGAGTTCGCCGCCTCTATGTGGCAATGGTTCAGTCGGTGGTCCTATACGGGGCCCCCGTCTGGGCGGACGACCTGGCGGCCTCCCGGCGCGGCATGACTATGCTGCGTCGGGTGCAGAGGCGGATGGCTCTAAGGGTCGTCCGCGGGTACCGGACCGTGTCACATGAGGCGGCGACGGTTCTTGCGGGGATGCCGCCCATGGATCTCCTCGCGCGGTCGCACGCGATGATGTATCGTCACCGCGTCGACCGTCGCGCGGGGGTGGGGGCGGTCCCGGGTGTGCAGGAACCTGCTTGGGGCGAGTTGAAGCGCCAGGCCCGGCAGTCCGTGGTGCACGCGTGGCAAGAGCGGTTGGCTCTGCCTACCGCGGGGCACCGGACAGTCGGGGCTGTTCGGCCACTCCTATGTGAGTGGCTGGACAGAGGCCATGGAAGCCTCACTTACAGGATGGCACAGGTGTTCTCGGGGCATGGCAGCTTCGGGAGATACCTGTGCCGGATAGGGAAGGAGCCGACGGCGCGTTGCTGCCATTGTGACGCTGAGCAGGACACGGCGGAACATACCCTCGAGGTATGCGCTGCATGGGAGGGTGAACGCCGTGTCCTGATCGGCGTCATCGGGCGGGATGTCTCGCTGCCGGGCATGGTGCGCGCCATGCTCGGCAGCGAGGAGAAGTGGAGGGCCGTGGCCTCCTTCTGCGAAATCGTAATGTTGCAGAAGGAGACCGCGGGAAGGGAGCGCGAGCGTCAGCGGCGCGCTGAGGCTCGCGCTCGTTTGGTGGCGAGAGAGCGTCGCCTGGGTGTCAGGCGACGCGGGCGGCCCCCTCGGCGTGGCGCATGACCCAGGCTGGGAGGGGGGTCCTGATAGGAGCCCCCTCCCGCCAGGCGGCGCAGGGTCGGACCGGATGGGGTGGCATTGCCTCCTGTCCGGGTCCGGCGCACGGAGCGGCACCCTCGGTGGCCTGGTGCGGCCGTTAGCTGCCGGCCTCCGAGGGGTAGAAACGGGGTCGCGGCGGTTGCGAGTTGGGGCTCGCAGCCGCCTCTAAAACGCGGCCCCGGGACGGATGGCGGCAGGACGATGTGGCCTCGTCCTGCCGCTATGAGACAGGGCGATTACCGGGGGGACCGTTTGTCCCCCCGCGGGTGGGCGCAAAGCGCGGGCACGGGGAGGATACCGGAAGTATACTTCGAGCGATTCCCGGTATCCTCCCAAATCGTGCGGAAGGGTCACCGTGGGGTTTTTAGTGGGTAGGTCCCGCGCCCGTTATAATGGGCGCGGGGAATCCCACACACCCCTCCCGCCTCTCCCCAAAGAGGTGGGAGGGAGTCTTTCGAAGATTTTCCCCACGGAAAACGCCCTGCGTTAGACGACTGGGATATTGGGATGTCGTTCGAGGAGTGTATATATAGCAACGGAGGGGTCGGTCGAGCGCTTGTGAGAGCGCGACCCCTCTGGTGGCGAGCATGGGATGCGACGCCACACTATTAGAAAAGTCTCGGAGTTAAATGGCACTAAAATAACATTGTATGTTAGATATCCTAATTTAAAAAACGGTCATTTGATCGATCATTGTAAGTTTAATGTTCATGTGGACTCCAAAGACGCAATACAAAAATGTTATAAAAATAATTTATTGTACGGGTAACCCCGTACAATATAATATAAGTATACATATAATACACTACAGAAAAATAAAACAATAAGAATTAAAAATAGTGTCGTTTATAATATGATTAACAAATTATTTCTCAATTGATTGGATGAATTTGATAAAATAAAAAACGCTAATTTAGCGGAGAATGAATTTGCTGCTATGCAGATTCTGGTTATTGGATCGAAATTTCCATATTTAGAAATAGAAATCGATGGTCTAAAATAAAAATGCGCCTGAAACGAAATGATCTCTGAGGTGCACTGTGATTTAGTGATTAAATTGTAAAAATAAGTTATATCAGGAATAGTTCTGGTAAGTATAATAGTGACAGT